TGGCTGCCCAGTTAGCACACAGAGCTCTTTTCATGGCAGGTAGCTTACAAATCCCTCAGCAAATCGGTTGGCAATTAACTTCCAGATTGCCTGAATCGCATTAGCCTCATTTACTCAAATGGGTTTAGTTTCCTACGCGTGTTCCTGGGCGAGAGGAGTGTGCAGTGCTGGGCTGAGCTGCTCTCCGAGCATCCCTCCATCCCTTCCCTGCCAGGCTGCATCCCTGGAGACACACACAGCTGGAGGGGAAAAAGGTACACTCACAACTTCTCTGGGTTTCTGTGCAGCCAAAGTCCAAACTGAACGTTCTGTGCTGTTGCAGCTTGCGAGGCTAAACTTTGTACCCATTAAAAATAAGATAAATAATAACATGCTTAATTCTGGGTTCTCTGGCATGTTCAAGCACCCAGAAAAAAATGTATTTTTAAAAGGGGTTTGCTGCATCTTCCTTTAGAAAACACTTCTGGAAGCACCTTGTGTCTCTAAAACTCTCCCTCCTTAATTATTTCACTGCTTATTCTTAGTGGAGAGAAAATACTTCGAGTAACTGCCTGGATTTAAAAAATGAACTTCTGAATGTTGCTGTTCAAAATTTCCCTGCCTGTCCTATAATATTGTCTTTTAGCATTGTTTTCTTGTTCTGTTTGAACTGCAGATCCCTCCAGTGCCTAAAGCTTTGCAGGAATGAATGGTACTTAGCTTTTTCTGTAGCCAATATATCTTAAGGTGTGCAAATAGCTTTACAGAAATGGCTTGAAAACTCCATTGTTGTGGTTCAAGTGGGTTTAAATCAAGGGAACATCGTAGCACATTTTGTTGTTCTAGCATTGTTTTCTTGTTCTGTTTGAACTGCAGATCCCTCCAGTGCCTAAAGCTTTGCAGGAATGAATGGTACTTAGCTTTTTCTGTAGCCAATATATCTTAAGGTGTGCAAATAGCTTTACAGAAATGGCTTGAAAACTCCATTGTTGTGGTTCAAGTGGGTTTAAATCAAGGGAACATCGTAGCACATTTTGTTGTTCTGGTGTTTGTGTTTGTGTGTAGGTTAGGGAAAATGAGACTTTGTCCTTTAGGAGTCTCAGAGAGAAGTGACCGTACTGAGCTTCAGTTTTTATGTATCTGAACAGTGGGCAAAGAGATTTCCCGGGAGTATTTAAGGTGGTGGTTCTGTCTTGCTGATAATATAAGGTTAAATCTCTAGCTCCAGGACTTCATCTCTGGACAAAATTATCTGAGACTAAATATCTCTGAAGAAAAGGATTTCTCTTAGGCTTGAACTGAAATGAAGCTGAAATCAGTGGCAGCAAACATTTTAGAACTATTTGGTAAAACAAATAGGATTTTTAATATTCCCAGAGAGTTCATAATTATTTTATCTCACTGATGCAAAAATAGTGTATTATACTGAGCCTTGAGATCATACTAACAAATCATATTTCCATATCATTAACACTGATCACCTTACCAAATGTTTCTGCACACAACAGTTCATACTGTCACTGAATCTCCTGCTCATTTCTGAGCGAAAGCAAATATTTGTAAGCCATTGGCAATGAAATCTAGGGAACTTCATTTAAAGTTTGTATAGAAATTGGTTTGATTGTCATTCATTGTGATAATTTCTTTGTCCTGTGTGTGCTCTGACTCAAAATGTTTCATGGCTCTCACACTGAACCCAATAAATTCTTTTTTTAAACAGTTAAAATTTGCCATGTTAGTAAAAAGTCATTCCTAAGGAGTAACTGAAAGCAGGTGACAACTGTTTTAGCTGTGAAGAAGGATGTCAATGTATTCCTCAGGTGAAGTTTATTGCTAGGTCAGAAGTGGAAATGTTGGTTCCTGTGCTCTGAGCACTGAACAGATTGCCCAGAGAGGTGGTGGATTCTCCTCACTGGAGGTATAAAAGATCCATCTGGACACAATCCTGAGCCATGTGCTCTAGGGTGACCCTAGAGCAGGGAAATTGGGCCAGATGAACCATTGTGGTCCCTTCCAACCTAACTGATTCTGAGGTTCTGTAAGTCCCAAACTGCTAGTCTCACTGCAACTCACCCCACAGTGAAAAAGAGGTTTCCAACAAAGAAAAACAAATCAAAAGCCTAACTCTAGCACAGAGGCATCATTCCCGCTGTGAGCACTTCATCCTCTCCCAGTATGTTGTTAGCTGAGCTCCAAATCAGCACTCTTGGAGGTTTCCATGATTCACCAGATGAAGTCACATCTGCCTCAATCTTGTGTTGGTGACAGTTCTGCCTATCAAGAGGGTGGTGAGACCCTGTCCCAGGTTGCCCAGGGAGGCTGTGGCTGCCCCAACCCTGGCAGTGTTCACAGCCAGGTTGGCTGAGCCTTGAGCAACCTGCTCTGGTGGGAGGTGTCCCTGCCCAGGGCAGGGGTTGGGGCTGGGTGATCTCTAAGGTCCTTTCCAACCCCTAAAATCCTATGATCCCATGAAGTCTGGCTCAAGTAGAGTGTAGGCAGTTTATCAGTAAAAGACCTCTGGACTTTAAATGTTGCACATTTAATTGATGCTCAATTTACTCTAAATCCATTTTATCTTAAATTAAAGCCAGTCCCATTATAACTGTGTTTGGAACATACTCACTTTGCATTGGGCCAGGATTATTGACTACCAAAACATTAAGACCACATATTTTTTGCCTGCAGCTTTGTCAGAAGAGACAAGCTTGGGCTGGATTTGTGGTAGCATCACTGGGAGAGAGGTGAACCAGCCTTTATGTGCAGATATTCCTGGTGCTGAGTGTGGGGCTCCCTGTGCCAATAGCCACAAGGGAGAGTTCAACTCTCTGTCAAGTAGCCTTAGCAAACTGTCTAGATAAGAGCTCACTTCTGTGACCATATGACTCTGCTAGATTAAATAGTTTTTTGGGGAATTTTGCAAGGCTTATTTCATTAACTACTCTCAAATTCATTCAGCAGGTCTGAAACTGTCTCATCATTTGCCTTTTTCTTGCTGCAAGCACTGTAACCATGCTGAGGTGCAGGATTGATCACCCCAGGGCTCCTAACTGCTCATCTGTGCTGTCAATTCCCATGAAAATTTACATTGCTTGCCTTTCCCACAGTGGCAATTAAAGTAATTAGACTCTGATGAATCAACATGGTGTATGAAGAGATCCTACCTCTCCCCTCAATTACCCTGTGCTGCTTAGGAAGCACAAAGGGGACAAAGGTCTGTGTGCACAGGGACAGCCAGGGATGCCCCACAGTGCAGGTGGAGCTAACTTTAATTATTCCACAACTCTCTCCCAGTTTTCACATGGAAATCAAATCCAAGGAGGTGAATTACTGGCAGCAGTGTCCCTTTCCATGTTCCTGTAGCCTTGGCAGAACTGTTTCGGTTGAAAGAATAACTCAGCAGTGTTAGCTTTTGTTACCTTTGTGCTGGAGCACCAGAGGTAGGAGGTGTGTCTTGACTTTCTAACCATCCTGTTCAAAGAGTATCAAATGGTCCAACTCACTGCACATTCAGAACTGACAGGCAGAAGGCCAAGTCCTTTTGGACCTCAATGATTTGGAGTCAATCTTTTGGTGGTACCCATAGTTTCCAACCATTGTGCCAGGGCAGCCCTCCAGAAAGAGGATGTCATGTCAGTGCTGCTGTGAGGTGTACCTACTTCCAGGAGAACAGAACCAGTAGGTGACTGTGGTGCTGCCACAGCTGCTGGAGGGGGTTTTCTGTAAGAAAGGGCCTTGAGTTGTCCTGTGCCAGCCACTGGAAAAGCCAAGTGTCTCAATGATGCTTGTAGAGGTTCTCTGAAAAACCTATGTAAGAAAGGGTAAAAAATGCTGTTCAGCAACTGTGAGAGAGGAGGGAGGAAATGTGGGAGAAACAGCTCTACAGACACCAAGGACATTAGAGGAGGAGGAGGACAAGGTTGGAGAAGATACTCACCTGAGACTGCTACTGGGTGGGCAGCCAAGGTCAACCCACCATAACCACCATCAGGTGGAGGGAGAACTATCTATAATGACATCTTGGCCTGTATCAAGAACAGTGTGGCAGCAGGACTAGGGAAGTGATCATCCCCCTGTGCATGGCACTGGGGAGGTCACACCTCAAGTACTGTGTTCAGTTTTGGGCCCATCAAGTTAAAAAGGACATTGAGGGACTGGAGTGAGTTCAGCGAAGGGCCACAAGGCTCATAAAAGGTCTGGAAAAGATGTCATATGAGCAACTGCTGAGAGAATTACGTTTGTTTAGCCCTGAGAAGAGGCAGCTCGGGTGATCTCGTCACTCTCTACAACTACCTAAAAGAGTAGAGAGGTGGGGGATGTCTTATCTGCCATTCCTGCAGTGAGAGGACTAGAGGGAATGGCCTTGAGCTGGGGCAGGAGACGGCTCATAAAAGGTCTGGAAAAGATGTCATATGAGCAACTGCTGAGAGAATTACGTTTGTTTAGCCCTGAGAAGAGGCAGCTCGGGTGATCTCGTCACTCTCTACAACTACCTAAAAGAGTAGAGAGGTGGGGGATGTCTTATCTGCCATTCCTGCAGTGAGAGGACTAGAGGGAATGGCCTTGAGCTGGGGCAGGAGACAGTCAGATTGGATATTAGGAAAGTTTTTTTCACTGTTAGGGTGTTACTGGAATAGAATAGATTGCCCAGGGAGGTGGAGGAGTCACCATCCCTGGACGTGTTTAAGAGGCATCTAGATCTGGCACTGGAGGATATGGTTTAGGGTGTAGGGGTAACAGCAGAGTGGCAGGTTAATGGTTGGACTTGATGATCTTAAAGGAACATTCCAACATTGATGAGTCTATGATTCTCTATCCCTAATACTGTATGAGGTGTGAAGCCATAGGGCAGACCCAACTCCTTATTAACTCCATGTTTTCTCAAGGTCTGAGCCCACAGGACCCAAAATTCCTAGCCAGAAGAGAGAGACCTTAGACGGGCATCTGGACCCAAAAGACACATCTTCCCTCTCCACACCTAATCACGTCTTCCCCCTTCCTGTGTTTTGTTTTCCAGAGGAAGCATGGCTGAAAAGCAGCCACACCTATACATCCAGATGTCAGATTTGGACACAAATGGTATCCCCAGCGGAGCCCAGTCCTCAGCAGACTCTGCTGCCAGGGCAGGGAGTGTGCTCACGTTCCACAACATCTGCTACCACGTGAAGACAAAGAGTGGGTTCCTGTGTTGTCGAAAAACAGCCAGTAAAGAAGTTCTGAGAGATGTCAAGTACGTATTTAAATATCTCTTTAGAGTATGTGTGTGCTTGATTTCTGTCTGGAGAACTGAGTCCACTCGTGTCACTGAGCCGCTAAGCACAATACCAACAACTTGCTCAAGGTTTAGTAATGTTCTATGTATTTAAGGTTGTTTCATATCAGGAAGGGAGTTTTACAGAGAGAGTGCTCAGGCATTGGAATGTGCTGTCCAGGGAGGTGGTGGATTCACCATCCCTGGAGGTTTTCAAGCTGAGACTGGATGTGGCACTTAGTGCCATGGTCTAGTGACCACAGTAGGGTTGGACTCAATGACCTTGGAGGTCTCTTCCAACCTGGTTGGTTCAATGATTCTATGATTCATGTTTGCTGTCAGCTGTGCTTAAGCTTCCTGCCAGGCTCCAGTGACCCTCAGTCACTAGAGCTGAGCCTGTGCCTCAGGATGCTCCTGCTGCTGGGTGTCATCTCCCCCAGCCCTGGGGGTACAGCCCTCCTGGCTGCTATTAGTGTGGGGCCACACCAGCCAGCTCTGCTTGTTCTACACTGCCTGGCAGCTCTCCTAGTGTGCAGGGGTGTTTTACTGAGATACCACCAGCCTGTCCTCAGTGTGTCTCCTTCCCTGGGGTGACCTTTGGAAAGGCTCACTTTGAGTGGTTTAACAAAAAATGTTGAAGTGAGGTTAGGTTAGCTATGAAGAGATGTAAAGTTTTCTGGTTTTGAGGTGGGTTTTTTCCCTACCATTGAGCACTAATGGAGTAAAGGAGTCATGTCATTGTGGCCTTTACTTAATAATCAATGCACAAAGTTTGTCTGTTTGTAGTTCAGTAGTTACACTAAGTGGCAGGTGCTCATCCAATATGCCATTCCAAGCCAGCCATGACTTTCAGCTCCCTAGCTCCAATTTCTATCAGGAATATTCATACCCTTTAGTGTGGCTCTGTCTGTTTCACTCTTTGCCCATGTAATTTCTACACCTCCAAAACTGAGTTCTGAAAGTGTTTCCTACTTTCTCAAGAGTTGTATGTTGTGGTAACTCGATTGGTCTTTGACACTGGTCATTGGCTCTGGTCATTAGTCACTGACATTGGTAATTCACATTGGTCATTTGCAGTATTTTCTATCTGACTTTTGAGTTTCATGTGGCTTAAGAAACTATCAACTGCAGCTTAACTGCAAACAGATCCCTGGTCTGTTCTGTCTACAGGGACCATTAATCTCTCTCTTAAGAGAATAAACCCCTCAGAACAGAAGGGAGTGAAAGCAAGTGTGTGCTTCACATGTAGAGATCCATGGGGTAAAAAGAAACAGCAACCTTCCAGTCTCAGAGCACCTTCCAGGGGCTGAAGGGGCTCCAGGGAAGCTGCAGAGGGATCTGTGTTAGGAGCTGCAGGGACAGGACAAGGGGCAATGGGCACAAATTGAAGGAGGGAAATTTAAGTTAGATGTTAGGCAGAAGTTTTCCCTGTGAGGGTGGAGAGACACAGCCCCGGCCCCAGGTTGCCCAGAGAGGCGGTGGCTGCCCCAAGCCTGGCAGTGTTCACAGCCAGGTTGGCTGAAGCCTTGGGACTGGATGATCTCTAAGGTCCCTTCCAACCCTTGAAATTCTATGATTCTGTGAAATATCCATACAGATTTGGCTGCATTTTACTCATGGTTTTGTGTCATTTTCATTCTATGAAGATTGGTTCTTGAATTATGAACACAAATGGAGGTGAGGTTTGAGTACAAATATTGCTTGTGATCAGGCAGCCTCAGTAATTCCCAAATGACTCCCAAAGGGATGGGATGCAAAAGGTATTTGGATAGACAAGTCACACTAACCTACCAGCTGGAACAGTGGAAGAGATAAACCTGCTCTATCTGTTTTGTAAAATCTGTTTTGTCTCACAGTGGCATCATGAGACCAGGACTGAATGCAATTTTGGGACCCACTGGCAGTGGGAAATCTTCGTAAGTGCTCCCTTTGCCCTACACAGGATTTACACCAAGGAGAACATGAAACTGCACATATTTGGCAGTAATGGACAATACCTGTACAGAAAGATCATGTTTTCATTTAGGTCTGTGCAAATCTCATGAGTTTCTGAGAAACACTTGAATTAAAAAAAAAGACAACCAGGTTAAATGACACAGATGGAATTCAGTTTTAGTCCATTCTTTGCTGATCCATGATATTTGTTCATCCTTCTAGGTTAAGTTCAAATTACTGAGAAAAATAGACACAAAATTGCACAGATCTCATTTCCTTAGGAATCCAGGACAAAACAAACTCAGTTCTTGAAAGGTGCTGGAGGTTTTCTAAATTGCAGATGTTTCATGTAGTATGATCTTGTGTCACTGTAGGGACTCTGTGTTAGAAGCTGCAGTGATAGCACAAGAGGCAATGGACACAAATTGAAAGAGGGGAAATTTTAGATGTTAGGCAGAAGTTTTCCCTGTGAGGGTGG